TCCCTTTTTTGCCGGGTTTCATTTCCACTGTTGTCAGCTGCGCCATAAGACGACTTTGATTAACACTGTCTGTTGCTTGATACAGGTTCTTCAGGTGGTCGTACGCGAGCTCGGCGGAGTTGTCGTACCCTCGATAAGACCGGATGTTATGCTGTTCGTTCGGAGTTATGTTTCGCAGAAGAATTGTGTACGCCATCAGTGACTGATACGTGTACTGTTGCTTGTCGTACTGCTTGCCGTGTGTTGGGTATGGCAGGGACCCGTCGAAGAATCCGAGAATCTGCGCGCCTTCCATCATTAGCTCAAACTCGAATGACCAGGTATAGAAGTCCTTTCCGTCAAAGGGTGTCAATGTCTGCGGTTTTAAAACGTGTGCGAACTGTGATTGAACCTGAAGCGCATCTAGTGTCTTCTCTTATCCAGGTGAAGGTTGTTGGTGTGGCGTGAAGCTGATGGAGCCACGTTGAGGTTCGTACGGAGCAAAGGTATGTTGCTGCTGATTTCCGCGCGCATAGGATGAGCCGTCAAGACTCATTGGGATAACCCTATTGTTGTTGTCGCTGAATTTTTATTGCACTAGTGCTGCTTGCTGGTGCTGCTCGTATCAGGACATGAAGGAGAAAAAATTCTCCATCATGCTTAGGTCGAAGCCTGTTGTTTGATTCCCGGTAGTTTCGGTAGACTCCGCAGCTGGTCTTGTTGCCGTGCCTTCCTCTGTCTGTAGGCCAGAGGCTGGAGGTGGAGTAGGAGTAGTGCCGGGAGATCCGTTGGAGGAATTCCTCTCCTTCTGAGTTGCCATGCCTTGTGCTGTTGTAGGAGTTCTAGTAGTTGATCTTGCCTTGGAGGCTCTCATACGGTACCATGTTGGGCTGATAAAAGCCCTTGGGATCTTTCAAGGCTAAGAATTTTGGGTAGAGATGTTGCGGAAACGTTTAGTAATATTGTTGAAATATTGTTGAACCACCTTGCACTAGTGTGTGAGAGCAATATGAATTGAGTAAAGCAAAGAGATACAAGAATATAAATATATATACATATATATGATTACAAGGAATACGAAGAGGTGCAATTAACTCTTTTTTGCTGTTGCGGTTCGATACAGTGACGACTCGGGCAACTGCTCAATACCGAGTCAGTTGTTTGTCCTTGCTGTCGCGCTGTATTTCGTCGAGTCAAAGGTTGCTGACCTTTGACCTTCACGTAACCTCTTGTGTTACGTTTGTTGACTCGCGAGTTGCTTCACTGTAGTCTGCTTCGTTCGTGTTATTACTTCGATATTTCAGAAGCGTTAAATTGCTTGTTTCCAACATAGGTAAGGTACGTGGTGTGCTATGCTGGCCCGCTTAGAATCAATCGGGGATCACCTCTGACAATTATTTCCATATGGTGCCCTACTTGACAATTATTTCCTCTGACAATTATTATTAGTCCGATTCCATTTAAGGAGTCTGTCGCGCAGTCCACGATAGCGGCTGATATACGCCATCCCTTTTTTGCCGGGTTTCATTTCCACTATTGTCAGCTGCGCCATAAGACGACTTTGATTAACACTGTCTGTTGTTTGATACAGGTTCTTCAGGTGGTCGTACGCGAGCTCGGCGGAGTTGTCGTACCCTCGATAAGACCGGATGTTATGCTGTTCGTTCGGAGTTATGTTTCGCAGAAGAATTGTGTACGCCATCAGTGACTGATACGTGTACTGTTGCTTGTCGTACTGCTTGCCGTGTGTTGGGTATGGCAGGGACCCGTCGAAGAATCCGAGAATCTGCGCGCCTTCCATCATTAGCTCAAACTCGAATGACCAGGTATAGAAGTCCTTTCCGTCAAAGGGTGTCAATGTCTGCGGTTCTAAAACGTGTGCGAACTGTGATTGAACCTGAAGCGCGTCTAGTGTCTTCTCTTATCCAGGTGAAGGTTGTTGGTGTGGCGTGAAGCTGATGGAGCCACGTTGAGGTTCGTACGGAGCAAAGGTATGTTGCTGCTGATTTCCGCGCGCATAGGATGAGCCGTCAAGACTCATTGGGGTAACCCTATTGTTGTTGCTGATTTTTTATTGCACAGGTGCTGCTTGCTGGTGCTGCTCGTATCAGGACATGAAGGAGAAAAAATTCTCCATCATGCTTAGGTCGAAGCCTGTTGTTTGATTCCCGGTAGTTTCGGTAGACTCCGCAGCTGGTCTTGTTGCCGTGCCTTCCTCTGTCTGTAGGCCAGAGGCTGGAGGTGGAGTAGGAGTAGTGCCGGGAGATCCGTTGGAGGAATTTCTCTCCTTCTGAGTTGCCATGCCTTGTGCTGTTGTAGGAGTTCTAGTAGTTGATCTTGCCTTGGAGGCTCTCATACGGTACCATGTTGGGCTGATAAAAGCCCTTAGGATCTTTCAAGGCTAAGAATTTTGGGTAGAGATGTTGCGGAAACGTTTAGTAATATTGTTGAAATATTGTTGAACCACCTTGCACTAGTGTGTGAGAGCAATATGAATTGAGTAAAGCAAAGAGATACAAGAATATATATATATGTATATGATTACAAGGAATACGAAGAGGTGCAATTAACTCTTTTTTGCTGTTGCGGTTCGATACAGTGACGACTCGGGCAACTGCTCAATACCGAGTCAGTTGTTTGTCCTTGCTGTCGCGCTGTATTTCATCGAGTCAAAGGTTGCTGACCTTTGACCTTCACGTAACCTCTAGCTGTTACGTTTGTTGACTCGCGAGTTGCTTCACTGTAGTCTGCTTCGTTCGTGTTATTACTTCGATATTTCAGAAGCGTTAAATTGCTTGTTTCCAACATAGGTAAGGTACGTGGTGTGCTATGCTGGCCCGCTTAGAATCAATCGGGGATCACCTCTGACAATTATTTCCATATGGTGCCCTACCTGACAATTATTTCCTCTGACAATTATTATTAGTCCGATTCCATGTCGAACCTTGACCAATTGTGTCTCTACCTTGACCAATTGTGTTAGCTTTCCAGATATACACTCAAGGGTTGTTGGTAAGCGAATATAGCAAGCTGGTAAAAGATCCCAGGGTCCAACACACTCTAGCAAAAAGGCTTGTATCGGTATTTACACCCTAACGAATTAAGCAAACACAGAAGGAAGAGACTGCCTTCCTCCCTCCCAATCTCGCAACAATGAACTCTGCTATACAGCCAAGAGGTGTGAAACGGTGCCCGGGGTTTGACCCTTCGCACGGCCCAAGAATGATAAGCGCATGGAGCATCTAATCAACGATAGTCCCGAGGGTGCGCATGAACCAGAACAGCTGTCCCTTCATCGAGTCGTGCCACGCGGGGCGCTCTTCCTCCATCTGCGCCTCCGTCGCCGCCGGCTTCACCTCCTCCGCCTTAGCGGCCATCGCGCTCTGCGGAGGAGTCTCGGGCGCAGCGCCGTAGCCCTGCGGAAATGTCGCCTTCTCGAGCTGATGGCAACAAAAAAAGAAAATTAAAGAGGCGAGGGAACCGATGATATTAGCACCAGCAACCAACATCCTTCATCATCAAACACCGAAAAGAAGCAGGTAGGAGGAACGAGAAGCACAGCAAAACTCCCATTATTGTGGCAAGCAGTTGTTAGGGCTTGCGAACGGGATGGCGAGGAACCGTACCGCGGGGCCTCGGTGGTGCACTCCCGGCCGCCGGTGGCGCTTTGCCGCAGTGATGGCGAGTCTTCGGGGAGGTTGCCCCTGAAAGAGCAAGAAACTCGAGGTGAGATACATAATGCCGTGCCGAGGGGAAAGAAACCGTCTCAATGAGCATGCAACCCATTCTGCATGAAACAAGAGATACGTAGAATGCTTACCTGAAGTCTAAGCGAGGGTGTGGCAATGGCGAGATTGGTGTGGGTCAGGACGAGAGCTTGAACCGCAGCCATGATATAAGAACGCCGACAACGTTATACCCAGAAGGACTATCGAATGAGCAACGTGAGAGTCGCCACTGATGTAAGCTTTAGAACAGGATGACAACAAGATTTGCACAAAGAAGCGTTTGAGTAGACTGGACTTATTATTAGATATGATGCTGGATGGGAGGGTCACCCCCATAAACATTGTCACCAAGAAAATCTGGTTCGGCATTCTCTGAGCTGGGAAGTTAGGGCGCTTTGGTTGGATAAGCTAGGCTAGGTGCGGTTCGGTCCCCGCTGGAAATACTCCTTGCCAGCGCGACATGATATGCTGCTCGTTCGTGCAGGACGCGGGCCGGTGACGTACGCTCGGGAACAACGCAGCAAAGCTCAAGCCTGTCAGGAGCTTGTTTATTATTCGTGGTTCCACCACCAGGCTGACGTTGCAGAATGTTCACGTGTACGTTAGTCTATCCGACGTCAACAAGCTGTCAGATGGATTTCGAGTGCCACAGGTTCACCAGCGCTGCAACGTTGGAGTCTTCGCTGGCGGGATCTTTGAGCGGGTTCGAGCGTTTGGACAGCGCATCACGCAACTCCGCCAGCACAGCAAAAGTCGAGGAGATTGATCGCACGAGTCTGGTCTGGTCTGGTCGCCAACCAAACCCGAAGCAACAGTGTTACATAAGTTTTGCGATCCTCTTGCATCGCGACTTCCCTCGAACAAAGTAACCCTATCGCATGATTGTTTCGCTCCCTCCACCAGATCCAATGTTCTTTCATGTTTACATTTCCAGCGGTGCTCGAATGTAGCAATTCTCAAGTTTCAGATTTCGCATTCACGTTCACCCTTGACATGCCATGCCATGCGCGGTTCGTGGCCAGATGGACAACCACGTGCGATAGTTTGTCGATTCGCCATTTGTCGCGGCGTGATACAGACCGACTCGTACGAGTGATTCCCTGTTAATTCGGGACCTCTTTGTGGACCTTCTTGTAGAAATCGTTTTTTTATAGTAGATCCGACACTGTTTCTTTCGTTCATCGCCTTTTCCCAGCTAACGTCCTTGATTCTACGATCTGCAATCAATCGTCGCTCCTAACTCTGACATCGTTGAAAACTGTTTTATCGTGAAAGCTCGTTGCGCCGTCCGCCATGGCGACCGAGGTAGCGGTGGAGGATTTGCGATCGGCGCGGCCGCGCGAGCCGCGTGCTGTCGGGAAGGTGGAGCAGTACATGACGCGCGACCCGATCTGCTTCCGTCGCGACACGCCTCTTGAGGACGCCCTGCGTGTGAGTGCTTCGTCTTGCGCGAGTCGCTGTGTTGCCTCGCGCGGTGGTTGTGTTGTCTCGTGCGCGCGAGTGTGTCGCCTTGTGGGGGTTCTCGAGTCCAGCGCAATTTCGCTCATGCCTCGCACGTGTCCCCCCATACCGCCAGGCGCTAATAGAGCACAAAAATAGCGGCGCGCCGGTGGTGTTGTCTTCTCTCTTTGCGTTGAATCACTTTCCCCTCTTGTCTGTCCCTTCTTCCCCCCTCCTCCCCCCATACCGCCAGGCGCTAATAGAGCACAAGATTAGCGGCGCGCCGGTGGTGGAGCCGCACGAGGGCGACTCGACGGGGAGCGGCAGGCTGGTGGGCGTGATTAGCGAGGAGGACCTGCTGTGGAAGGAGGTGGACGCGACTGATAGGGTGAGACGCAGCGCAGGGGTGGGGAGGTGTATCGCGGATTGCTGTTTGGCTTGAGCGAGATCGTCTCAGCTCGTGCTGGGAGTGCGCAGGGCAGTAGCTATGATCAGCGAGGAGGACCTGCTGTGGAAGGAGGTGGACGCGACTGATAAGGTGAGACGCGGGGTTTGCGGGGTGGATGCCGACCAAGAAAGTTTGGGCCTCCTGAGGCGGGGAGTGGCGAGGATGTAGCTGCGATCAGCGAGGAGGGCCTGCTGTGGAAGGAGGTGGACGCGACCGACAAGGTGAGACGGTGGGGAGGGGATGTGCTGGCTTGTGCTGCGTGGGACGGGCAGCCCAGGGGTGGGGAGGTGCAGGGTTGCAGGGGTTGCGAGGTGAGGACGTCAATTGGTTGGGTTTTTGGGAGTCCTTGTATCCTCAGGCAGGCTTTGTGGCAGGCTGGTGGGCGTGATATTTGAGGCAGCGGAGTGGACGAGCTGCAGCTTCGTGGCAGCTGCAGCTTCGTGGCAGCTGCAGCTTCGTGGCAGGTGCAGCTTCGTGGCAGCTGCAGCTTCGTGGCAGCTGCAGCTCGCGCGCGTTTCGTGCAAGGCCCGCTTGATCTAATCCTCCCCCGGACCACTCCCTCCCCTTTCCCTTCTTTCTCTCGCAGGAGCTGGAAACCGCATTCCGCGCCCCGTGTCTCTGGTCAATGATGACGTCAGACACGAGCATGCTTGAGACCTACGAGGACCAGGCTCTTAAAGTGCTCTCCCAAACCGTGGGTCTCAGCATGAGCGAGCAGTCTATTTCAGTCCCCCTCTCCCCCCCTCCCCGTCCCCACCTTCCCATCTTCCGCCCCTGCCCCCCCACCCCCCCTCCCCCAATCGTTCTCTCACAGGAGCTGGAATCTGCATTCCGAGCGCCCTACCTGTGGTCAATGATGACGTCAGACACAAGCATGCTAGAGACCTACGAGGACCAGGCTCTTAAAGTGCTCTCCCAAACCGTGGGACTCAGCATGAGCGAACAGTCCATCTCAGTCACCCCCGACACGCCCGTTAAAGACGCCGCTACTATCATGCTAGATGCGAAGATTAAGAGGCTTCCGGTGGTGGCGCCGAGGGAGGGGGGCCGCCCGGGTGTGACTGTAGTGGGCGTGATTTCGAGGAATGATGTTCTGAGGCATGTGCTGAGCGTGCTTGTAGAGAGGGGGGGGAGGGCGGAGGGGGAGGGGCGGGCGGAGGGGGAGAGGGAGGGGGGACGGGGGAGGGCGGAGGCGGGGGTGGGGGGAGCAGCAGGGGGAAAGGGGGGAGAAGGTGGTAAGGCAGTGGGGGGTGAGGCGGGAGGGGGGGCAGGTGGGGAATCTGGGCGTGGGGGGGTAACAGCACAGGCGGAGGTTGGTGGGACAGGCGGGGGCGGGGATGCAGGGGGGGTGGGAGAGGAGGGGGGCAAAGGAGAGGCAGGAAGTGGTGGTGCTGGGATTGGTGGCGAGGGGGGAAAGAAGGTGCAGACTGGTTTGGTGAAAGGTGGGGCGTGATATGGAGGGAGGTTGACAACGGGGAGGTGGGGCGTGATATGGAGGGAGGTTGACAACGGGGAGGTGGGGCGTGATATGGAGGGAGGTTGACAACGGGGAGGTGGGGCGTGATATGGAGGGAGGTTGTTTTGAGACATCTCGTTTTGAGTTTTGAGACGTCTCGTTTTGAGTTTTGAGACGTCTCAAAACGTGATATGGAGGGAGGTTGACAACGGGGAATGGTACCCAAGTCTTGGTTGACAACGGGGAGTGGTACCCAAGTCTTGGTTGACAACGGGGAGTGGTACCCAAGTCTTGGTTGACAACGGGGAGTGGTACCCAAGTCTTGGTTGACAACGGGGGGTGGTACCCAAGTCTTGGTTGACAACTACTAAGTAGAGGCCGTGGTTGGAACACGCTTGGCTGTTTTCAATGCAAAGATTGGCTAGGCGAAAGGTGGGGTTCGAATGTGAGGGTGCTGGTGACAATGGGGGGGGGGGGGGGGGTACAGGAGGAGTGTCTGGGAAGTGGTTGACATGGGACGATTGGTTTCACGTGTCATGTTTTGTGAGAGCTGAAGCAGGAAGTCTGTTGGGCAGGGAGGTTATGGTTTGACAATGTTTCTGTATTTTGTATATAGAGTTGTAAGTTTGCTTGGTGCAGGAAGGACCGCACCCATGTTGGCTGGTCGCAGAATGAAACATACGGTATTGGTGATACTCGCAGTTGAATTTGGTAGTCTCATCAATTTTCCTTCCACCTTAGCTCAGCATTGACATATCCCTCAATCAGACATACATGATTGAGTTACGGTACAAAGCTACCAGATGGGGAAACAGTGAACTTTTGAGTGAGTCAGGTTATGGAGGTTCGGGGTTGAGGAACCATTCACTCCACCAATCCTTAGTAGGGACGTTTATAGGTACCGTAGCTTGGGCTGGGCAGTCCAACCCACCTCTTGACTGCCTTCTCTAACCCTCAGTCAGAAGCTGGGAGACTGCCCCATCGTTCAAGTGGGTTGCTGTGTGAAATCTCAAAGCGCTTTTATTGAACACCTTGCTAACATCACAGCTCGCTCCACAGGCTGTGGAAAACAAACACCAACAAACACAAGCCTACAATATCAGACTGACAAAAGCAACGTCCTCTCCTGCCAACCACCACGGCCTCAACTACAGTGGCACTGTGGCACTGAGACTCCTGCTCTGCGACTGGAGGACAAATGAAGAAACCTTCATTCCCAAGCCTCTGTATAAGGGGGGCTTTTTCAGCGCTCTACCTGAGCGCCTTCTGCAGCTGCTGCTCCGTGATAGAGGGACCAGCTGCCAGCACCTCATCAGGGATACGCGTGGTTTTGCCGCCCATCTCGAATTCTACGAACTTGCCGAAATTCTTCACAAACAGCGCTCCAAGCTTCTCCAGGGTCTCCTGGTACTTCACCTTGTCAGGCCACTGACGTGGGGAAGGGAGGAAATGGGGAGGAGACGAGCGGGGAGGGGGGAGGGAGGTGTTAAGGCGGGAGAATCACAGGGGGGAAAGGGGGAGCACGAGCTCTGGACTGGCGGCAAGTGCTCACTGAGACCTTATGGGGAAGCTCTCACTTGGCGTTTTCTCTGAACTGCAACTATGCTCACGGACTGGTGGAGTCAGAACTGGAAACACCACTCACCAGAGTCTCCGGCTGAAGCACCTCGCTGGGCACGCCGCTACACTTGGTGGGCACTTGCAGGCCGAACACGGGCGTCGTCACAAACTCTTCCTTCAGCAACGACCCGTCATGAATCGCATCTATAATCGCGCGCGTGCTCTTGATGCTCATCCTGCTACCGACACCATAACTCCCGCCAGTCCACCCGGTGTTCACGAGCCAAGCCGTGGTCCTGTGCTTCTTCATCTGCTCCGCGAGCAGCGATGCGTACTTGTACGGATGCCACATCAGGAACGCGGCGCCGAAGCACGCGGAGAACGTCGCTTCCGGCTCCGTCACCCCCATCTCGGTACCCGCGACCTTGGCGGTGTAACCGGAGATGAAATGGTACATCGTCTGCTCGAGAGTCAGCCGGCTGACGGGCGGCAGTACGCCGAACGCGTCGCACGTGAGGAGAATCACGTTCGTCGCGTGGCCCGCTGTGCAGGGAATCTTCGCGTTGGGGATATACTCGATAGGGTATGACGCACGGGTATTCTCAGTGATGCTGTTATCGTCATAATCCACGACTCGGGTATGCGCGTCGAAGACCACATTCTCCAGAACCGCTCCGAACCGGATTGCGTTGTAGATATCGGGCTCCTTTTCGCGGGAGAGGTTGATGCACTTGGCGTAGCAGCCGCCTTCGATGTTGGCGACGCCGTCGTCGCTCCACGTGTGCTCGTCGTCGCCGATCAGCAGGCGGTGCGGATCGGTGGAGAGGGTTGTCTTGCCCGTGCCCGAGAGCCCGAAGAAGAGAGAAACGTCCCCGTCCTTGCCCATGTTGGCTCCGGAATGCAGCGAGAGCACGCCCTGGAGAGGGAAAGGAGAAGGGAAAGGTGGAGGGTGAAGGGAAGGGAAGGGGGAGGGAAGGGGAAGAGAGACACGTCCCCGTCCTTGCCCATGTTGGCGCGCGAGTGCAGCGACAGCACGCCCTGGAGGGGGAGGAGTGGGGGAAGGAGAAGGGGGAGGGGAGAGAAAGGAGGAGGATTTGAATGAGATAGAAACAAGAGGTAGGGCGTGAGAGCGACACGTCGCTGTTCTTGCCCATGTTGGCTCCCGAGTGCAGCGACAGCACGCCCTGGAAAGGGAGGAGTTGGGGGATTTGAGAGGGAAGGGGGCTTGAAAGAAGCAACAGCGCGTGGCAATGGGAGTGACTGAAATGTCGACTGGAGCGCGGTTGGATTCATTTGAGTAATTTCTGAGAAATGTTACGAGTGCCGTTGGGGAGCTTCTTTCTTCTGGATTCTCGTGAGTCTTTAGTGTTATGAGTCGACTCAATAGCACACCATTCTCCAGCACTGCAAACCCAGCTGCTTGGGCATGAGGTAGTTCATGAGGGAAAATAGCCCCTTCCTTCATTTCCCCGGCGTACTCAGTCCCCAGAATGACCATCTCCATGCGGTTGAGGTCCATGTCCGCGCTCGTCGTGCTCTCTGCTTACACACACCTGTCCACCACTGCCCACCACTGCCCACCACGAACTAGGCCTCACCTGCTTGGGCATGAGATAGTTCATGAGGGAAAAGAGCCCCTTCTTCATCTCGCCGGCATATTCAGTGCCGAGAATGACCATCTCCATGCGGTTGAGGTCCATGTCCACGCTCGTCGTGCTCGTCATGAACTTGCTCAGCCGGTTCACGGGGAAGTGCCCCGCGTTGTAGATCGTAAACACCGGCTCGCCGAAGTTGTCCAGCTGCTCCTGGGTGGGACGGATGCACCTGGGGAGGGCAGGCAGGGCCACAGAGGAGAGGGAGAGGAGAAGGGGGAGAAGGAGAGGGAGACGTGGGGGTGAGATAGGAAGAAGGGGCGGCGGTTGACGGGGAAATGCCCCGCATTGTGGATGGTGAAGCCGAAGGGCGCATGGAAAGAGGAGAGGAGTGAGGGGTGAAACAGTCTGGACGAAGAGGCCTTTAGGAAATGAAGGGTGCAGGAGAACATGAACGTGCAATATTGCACCGTGCATCCACTCACATGTTGTGCATGAAGAGCGCGTGGTAGGCACGCGCGCACACGATGCGCACTTTGATCTGCAGCTTCGGATCCCACCCCAGCAGCATGTCCTGCACGTACACCTGCAGCCACGTGGCAGCACGGGATTTGATCAGAGGACGCGAGAAGGTGAGCGGGAATGGTAAACCAATCAGGGAATCAGTAGCAGGTGAGCAAATAGATTCGCACATGAGAGTTCTAGTACAAAGGAATAGACCGATGTGTGTTAGAAGCAGCATTATCCGCTGCTTCAACAGTCACAGCTGGACCGCATATGAGGCTTGTCAAGGTGAGTATCGAATATATTTTTCCGAGGTGGTAACGTCTTTATATCGCGGACAGCCCACCTTGCCGACGGTGTTGAGGTAGTCGATGGCGCGCTCGCGGTTCACCATGAACGTGTACTCGTCCATCTCGTAGTTGGGCGACCCTCTGCGCACGCACACAGACGCAACACACAAGAACGTGATTCAAGACGTGTTGAAACAAGCACAAGCACTCTATTGGAACGGAAGCCGCAATATTCCTAAAACCCGCCCTGAAACCCTGCTTCAATCCCAAGCCCAGAACCAAGAACCAGAGGGGATACTCACTTGCCCCACCAGAGGGGATACTCACTTGCCCCACCAGAGGTCCTCGGCGTGCGCGCGCTCCTTGACGACGCGCTTGTCCTTGGGCGAGCGCCCCGTCTTCTGCCCCGACAGCGTCGCCAGCGCGCCCGTCGACACGATGAAGTTGCCCTCCTCCTGCGCGATCGCCTGCTCGTACAGCTCTGGAGTGGGGGAAAGGGAAGGTAAAAGCATGACGTATGTCTGATTAGCACATGGCGGCAGCGCGAAATGCAGCACCGAGAGAGACGGAAACCACCATGGCGAAAGAGAAGTGGCAGCGAGGGAGAGGTTGCGAAGGACCTCGCGGGGCTTGAGGTTGGCGACAAAAGTTATCGTCGAGATAGCACACAGCGACAGGGGCGCAATGCGGCCCGGGAGAGACAGAGGAAATTGCTGGGAAAGCGAAGCGGCAGTGAGGGCGGATATAAGACTTACCGGCGACGGAGAGGTTGCGCAGAACCTCGCGCGGCTTGAGCTTGGCGACGAAGATGTCGTCGGGCGCGAAGTCGGGGACGTTCATCACCTTCTGGAGCGCATCGCCCGCTCGCGTGGACTCGCGCGGCTGGTTGGTCGGATCGAATGCCTGCGGGGATAAGAGGAGAGAGGAGAGAGAGGCATATCGGGACGGCAGAAGTTAGTATGCGTGTGGGTCAACTCAGGTGTCAATTGGTTAGGCCAGGCTTTGCGGGAAAAGGCCGGGAGGCAGAGAGGGAAAAAACGAAGTATGTACGAGTGAGGAAAGCCGATGAAGGAGAAAGCAAGAGGGGAAACACACGACGACGTGGAATAGAACGCACTGCGACGCATGTCTTGGTCTTCGATCGGCGTTGAGAAGGGCGAGCCGCCTTGGCGTGCGCGAGACGGGCCCCTCCCTGCCGAGAAGCATAACAAGTAACGGTGGCAATGTCAGAAATGGGCAACCATCGAGTGTTTTCCAGTACGAGTGTAGGAAAAGAAATTGTTTTTTTTCTGACTGCTTAGGGCAACTATCTGGAAAGAGTGTGAACTATGGCAGAAGGAATGTAGCAGCCAGATTCAGGGTACCGACTGGAAAAAAACGGAACGTACCTTGAGAATGCGAGACTGTGTTTCAAGAGAAGATGTCCCAGACACCGCGACGGACGGCGCGGTGACGGAGATGCCCATCAGCGAAGCCATTTAGGCGAAAGCTACCGCAACACGCGCGAGTCACTGCTGTTGAGTGCGTGAATGCACGCCGATCGGTAACTAGAGAAACGGAGGGTAAACTGCTGCGCAGTGAGCAAGGCCTAAGGTGATCAAATGACCAACACCAAACGGAATTCTAGTGAATGCGTTTTCTGCTGTTCGCTTTTTGTGTTGAGAATTTGCAATGTGCTGCTCGTATGTACGAGGGCATGTTGCTGCATGCTAGTGTCGCGACGCGATACTGGAGAAGGAACTGTAGATACTGAATTTAGATCTAATTCAAGGCGTCATACGTTGCGCACTGCCAGCAGGGCAGCGAAAATCGACGAGTTTTGGCGCAATGATCAACCTCTCCAAGCGCGGGGGCGTGGTATGGGAAGTACTTGGCTGGTTGGAGCCGACATGCCGGCGTGCCACGCTGTCCGTAAAAATGGAGGCGGAAGGAGATCTTCTTGATGCGCTGTTTTCCGAAGTAGGCTGATTGGTGCTCGTGTTGTGCGTTCTCCAAGTCAGCAGTACGTTTGCCCAATTGTTAGCATCTAACCGAGAAAAAGCTCCTGAAGACTCGGCAACAGAAGGATGCGCTGGTTAGCCGTCAGAACCCACCTGCTGCCACGAGCGACTCAGCGAGCGGGAGGGTCATGGGGATTTGGTCGCGAGAACGTGAACTGCGCCGCATGTGGTATAGAGACATCTGATTGGTTGTAGTTCGCGCGAAAACGAACGAGTCTGACCCAATCGCCATACACTCAAGAGACATACGCTATACAGATTGCCTGCGTTATCCAGCAAGTGTCAAGTCAGCTCTGATAGGCTTATAGATATCGCAAACAAACCTGAAGTACACCCAAAATTAGAGCAAGCTGTTAGTGCTATAAAATAAAATTCAGTCATGCCATCATCTTCTACCCTACGGTACCATGCCCACCCCACCCCAACCCAACTGCACTTCATGCTGTCGCTTGCCCATGTGTCATCCATCCAGAGCCATCACTGCACAGAAACTGCGTGGTTCCGTACAACTTAGGCTTCTTGCATAATCCGCACCGCACCGCCATGTCCGCCAATCACCAGATGCACCACAGCACCAACGACACGTCATCACCTGCTCCTGGCGGCAAGTTCCGGCCGAGCCGTAGCAGCAGCAGCGGAAACATACCCGCAAATGCCGTCGCATCTGGCGGGCGCTTTAATCACGGTGGCACTGCCAGCGAGAATTCATGGATCAGAAAGGCCGTAAGCGGCGGCAGCAGTGACGGCGGCGGCGGCGGTGGCGGCAGTGGCGGGGGTAGCGGCGGGTGGGGTCCTTCGAACAGGGGCAGGCAGGCAGCGACTGGCCGTGGGAGCGACGCGTTGGGAAACAGCGACGCGAGGAGCAGCGGCGGCGGAAGCAGCAGCGGCTTCGGCGGCGGTGAGTGGAAGACGCGCGGCGACGCATGGGGAAGCAACCGCGCGGAGGAGGAATGGGGGGGGCGCGGGGGAGGCGGCGGAAGAGGGGGAGGCGGGGGATGGGGGGGAGGCGGCGGAAGGGCGCCAAGGTGGGGGGAAACGACTTCGTACAGTGGGCGGCGTGATAATGGCGGGGGAAGAGGGGCCAATGCAGCTGGTTACAGTAACCCCGCACCTGCTGGCAAATTGATGCCAGGTGATAAAGTGCCAGCGGTTGATAGCTCATCAAGGCCTGATAGCTTATCAATTTCTGATGGCTTATCAAGTTCTGATGGCTTATCAAGTTCTGATGGCTTATCAGTGGCTTATCAAAGGCTACGGGTGGCTGATGAGGGCAGCAGCGCCACGAGCAGCGGCAGCAGTGACTGCAGCAACCCTGCTAATGGCACCAGTAGGATCAGCAGCTCCAGTCACACCAGCAGCAGTATCAGCTGTAGCAATAACAGCAGCAACAGCAACAACAACAGCAACAGCAACAGCAACAGCAACAGCAACAGCAGTGGCAGCGGTAGCAGCAGCGGCAGTGGGAAGGAGCACCAGGAGCGAGGGCGATACGCATGGGCAACACTGGTGATGCAGAACGAGGTGTATGCATGTGGGGCACTCGTGCTAGGCCATTCCCTCAGACTTGCCAACACTCTCGCTGATCTCGTCTGCATGGTAACAGACGACATTGCTTCGGATGTTACTGCTGCTCTGGGCGAGGTTTGGGACCACGTGGTGGTTGTGCCGAGGCTGGAGGCTCGGCAGGGGGTTCGGCAGCGGCGGCAGGTTCGGTTCGGGCATATGTATAACCCGTGGCTAAGTGCGTGCTTAACTAAGTTTACTGTTTTGCGATTGGAGCAGTATGAGAAGGTTGCGTTTTTGGATGCGGATATGGTCTGCGTGTCAGGGTTTTTTACTCTGGAAAATATTCAAGAGGACAGGCTGACCCTGCTGGAACGAGTGAAATTGTGGCGCGACGCAGAGAGAAAGAAGATGGGCTCTGAAAGCTGCCCTTCCGCTGCTGCTGCCCCTGCTACTGCTGCTGCTTCAGGTGCTGCTCCTCCTTTTCCATCCCATGACCCCCCTACTTCGCTCCCCCCCCGTTCACACTGTGCTGCCTCACCTGTCTCCACCTCTCTCCGCCCCTCCATACCCATCCCCACCCCTCTGCACCCTGTTGCCTCCTCGCCATCCGTCATCTCCATGGTGCATCAGCAGCAAGGTCAGCAGCAGCAGCAGCAGCAACCACAGCAGCAACCACAGCAGCAATTGCAGCAGCAACTTCCACAGACATTGCAGCAGCAGCAGCAGCAGCAGCAGCAGCAGCAGAACGCGGCCTCTTCCCCTGCCCTTCCGGATCCCGATTCTCTCTTTGCCTGCCGCGCCCCAGCTGGCATCCTAGACCTCTACCGCCGGTGCGTGCTCGTGTTCGTGCCCTCCCATCCACCTGTGTGTGTGTGTGTGTGTGTGTGTGTGTGTGTGCGCGCGCGCGCTCCCCACCTGCCGTGCCCCAGCTGGCATCCTAGACCTCTACCGCCGGTGCGTGCTCGTGTTCGTGCCCTCCCATCCACCTGTGTGTGTGTGTGTGTGTGTGTGTGTGTGTGTGTGTGTGTGTGCGCGCGCGCGCGCTCCCCACCTGCCGCGCCCCAGCTGGCATCCTAGACCTCTACCGCCGGTGCGTGCTTGCATGCTTGCTCCGTTGCACCCCACCCATGCGTTCTTGTGCTGGCACTCACCTTCTTGCTCTGCACCATCTCTTTCTTATCTCCACCGAATTCCACTGTACCCCATTGTACCGCCTTTGGCAGGGACCTTGGTGCGAACCAGCGGTTGCATGGGCAGCTTCTGGCGGATGATGATGTGAGGCGAGCCATGGAAGGGCTTTTTTATGCGATGCGAGGTGAGGGAGAGGGGGTTGAGGGGTTAGTTTGTAGCGGGCAGCTTCTGGCAGATGATGATGTGAGGCGAGCCATGGAAGGGCTTTTTTATGCGATGCGAGGTGAGAATGGGGGGGTTTGGATGGGGGGAAATGGATGGAGCGTAGTGAGGGAGAATACGGGTGATGATGTGAGGCGAGGTATGGAAGGGCTGTTCTATTCCATGCGTGGTGAGAGGGGAAGGGGTGGTGAGGGCGGGGGTGTGGAAGGAGCAGAGGAGGAGGGTGTGAGTGCAGGAGCTGGACGTTTGATGACACCATCAAACTAGGTTTGATGCAGGGGCGGGAGAGGCTTGCAGGCGAGCCTCAATCCCCACCCACCCAGGCTCCTCTCTTTAAGTCGCTATCTGTTTGACAACGTGCAGTGGTGCATGCGGCACCACCCCATCGGCCACTTTCTCTCCTCCTCCCACACTTTCTTCCTGTATCTCTCTTTCTCCCCCTCGCCCCCAGCCGCCGTCTGTTTGACGATCTGCAGTGGTGCGCACACCACCACCCACCCCATCGGCCACTGGGACGCCATGGCTGGGCCATCTCCAAGTTCTTCCTCCCCTCTTCCAATCCTCTTTCTCTCTCCCCCCCGCTCCCTTCCCCCTGGCTTTCTTCTTCCCAGGCTGCACGCTCCTCCTTTCTCCCAGCCGCCGTCTGTTCGACGACCTACAGTGGTGCGCACGGCACCACCCCATCGGCCATTTGCTCTCCTTTATCTCTCTCCTCCTCCTCCTCCTCCTCCTCCTCCTCCTCCTCCTCCTCCTCCTCCTCCTCCTCCTCCTCCTCCTCCTCCTCCTTTCCCGTTCCTACAACCCCCAACCAACCAGGTTGCTCGCTCCTTCTCTCCCCAAGCCGCCGTCTATTCGATGACCTACAGTGGTGTGCGAGGCACCACCCCATCGGCCACTTGTCTCTCCCTTTCCCCCCACGCACACCCCGCCTTCCCTTCCCTCCCAGGATGCACGCTCCTTCTCTCCCCAAGCCGCCGTCTATTCGACGATCTGCAGTGGTGCGCGAGGCACCACCCCATCGGCCACTGGGACGCCATGGCTGGCCCAGATGAGTATTTCATCTCCAAGTTCTTCTTGGATCGCGGGGTGCCGTGGACGCATGTTCACATGCGGTGAGTCGTGTCGTGTGTGCATGCATTGCATGCATATGGGCATGGGGTGCGTGCAGCCGTGGCGGGCCCCGATGAGTATTTCATCTCCAAGTTCTTCCTCGATCGGGGGGTGCCGTGGACGCACGTTCACATGCAGTGAGATGCGGTGATGAGGGGTGCAACCATGGCAGGGCCCGATGGGTATTTCATCTACAAGTTCTTTCTGGCCCGATGGGTATTTCATCTACAAGTTCTTTCTGGCCCGATGGGTATTTCATCTACCGTAAGCCCCCGGATAGTAGCGCCCCTGGGGGTATAAAAAAACACTGTTTTTTAGGGGGTGCGCTTATAATCGAGGATTTTTATAAGCGCCGGCGCTTATAAAATGACATTTAGGAAATGCATATTTCTTACACCAAATTGTAGATCACGTTCTTGCAATTTGAATCGAGTCGAAACTATACAGGGCTGGAATTGAGAATCTCGCGCCAGTTGGCAGGGAATGATTCCCTGCCAACACACACAGTCAGAATGAGTCAACTTACGCTGCCGACAGCTCATTCTGACTGGACGCGCAGGCACTGAGCCGAGCGAGGTGAAGGGCTTCGAAATTCAATCATGTGGGAATGGAAAATGTGAGTTTCGTTACAACGATTTCAGTACAATTATAGCAAAACAAAACAGATGGTGGCGCTTATAATCCGTAAGCCTTCAGGGGTGGGCTTATAATCGAGGACCGGATATAAGCGCCGTCATCCTTTTATAAGCGCCGGCGCTTATCCAAGGCCTGCGCTTATATCCGGGGGCTTACGGTACAAGTTCTTTCTGGCCCGATGGGTATTTCATCTACAAGTTCTTTCTGGCCCGATGGGGTGCCATGAACACGCGTGCACATCAGGGCCTCAGATTGGTTTTGGGGCACCCTGATCACTCATTGTTCCTTGAGGACTAACACTGATTTTCAGTGTCATCATCTAAAAAACACTGATTTTTCAGTGTTCACAAAAAAATTACACTGATCAATCAGTGTTCTTAATCACATAAACACTGATTTTCTTTGCCAGTATGGGGAATTATGATAGCATCGAGTATGGTTTGCTGAGCACACCACACCAGCACCACGATGCCAGCATTGGAGGGAAACACTTACCTCTGGCTTTGTGTGCTGCGAGGCCAAAACAGTCAAGAGGGTACAGGTTATTAGTGGCAACCAATCAAAACTTGAGAAGTTTACCACCTGGCACGAAGGATGCCATGTACAGCAAAACAGCTGGCGGTACTGTAGGAGCTTGACAGCCGAAGTAGCAGGTCATGGCACAAATCACAGGATGAACTCCCTACAACACTTGGGCCAATCAGATTGCGCCGTTTCTAGTTTCAGGGTCGAACTCGATACAACACTGACCCGTCAGTGTCCTCAAAAACAAAACACTGAAAAATCAGAGTTCGACATAAAAAAACACTGAAACATCAGGGTCGTTAAAAAAAAAAAAAGGCTGATACATCAGGGTCACGATAAAAAACGAGGGTCAAACTTCAGGAATTCAGGGTAAAAATCCTGACTTCTGAGGCCCTGGTGCACATGCGGTGAGTGGTGTCTCTTGGGCGTTCGGGAGCAAGGTGAGTTGCAGATGCCGCTTTTAAGTGATTGTTTGCACTGTGGTGAGTAGCATTTCTTGGATTCGTCCACTCTCTTTCACTCCTCTCACTGTTCCTCTTTTATCCTCTTTTGTCTCTTTCACTCTTCTCCCCCCGCTATCCCCCCCTCACCAGGTTCGGAGCCATATCATGGGTGGTGGATGAGGCATTACAGGGCCAGGCCCCTCCCGTGTTCATCCATTACGTCAGTGAGAAGCCATGGGTCGCCCCTGCTGTCACCTCCACCGCCCCTGCTGCCCCCACTTCTACAGTGAAAACGTCTACACCTGCTGTGACTTCTATAGTGACTAATTGGTCAGACTTCTTAGTGTGGGACTCTATAGCGGAGCAGGTGGTGGGGCTGCTGCAGGCAGCAGGGGAGGAGGAGGCGGGTGCTGCCAGCAGGCTGTTTGCGGGGTGGGACGCGAGGAGGAAGCTTCCTGTTGTGTTCCCAGAGAAGCAGGGTTGAGGTCTGTAGGTGGACGAAGCTGAGCAGGTGGTGTGGCTGCTGGAGGCAGCAGGGGAGGGAAGGGAAGCGAGGAGAGGAAGCTTTCTGTGTTCCAAGGAAAAGCAAGGCGTGTAGCCCGTTTTAGAGGTCTTGAGGGCAGGATTTACTAACTGGGGTTGTTGCTGCTGACTCCCAATTTTGTGTAGTGCCTGATATGAGCAGCACCGGAGACCATCTGAGTGAAACAGCTTCAGTACAAAGTTACCGTATATGGAAGTTAACGTTAGAAAGTTCAAAGACAAAGGAGGATAGTTTCAGCAAATAAGAAACTACAGTAAGAAAAAAAAGAAACGTTGACGTGTTATGGTAATGCAGAAAATATTCCCTGCCACTGCTCTCGGGCGAACAGAAACAAAACACAATTCAGAACCCCGAATTACGGAGGAAAGGGTGACGCCCCAACCCAAAGCCCCTCCCCTCTCTACTTCTGCCCCAACCCCACCACCCAGGTGCCCATGCCACACACCACACTATCAGTTCAGCCTACGGCTGCAGCAAACATTCCCTTTCACCCTGTTCCATTTCACTCTGTGGCGGAGCGTCCTCGTCAGGGCTTTGCTTCTGTTGCCTCACTCCCTGCTGCTGCACCATCCACTGCCATGGCATCCCCTGCAGCACCCTCACCTCCCTTACTGTCACCTTCCGTACTGGCACCCTCTGCTCCTCCCCCTTCGCCCTCCTCCCCACCAGCTGCCTCCCCTGCAGCAGCACCATCCCCTCCCTTCGAGCCCTCCTCACCCCCAGCCCCACCCTTATCAGCCGCACCATCCTCATCTTCCTTCCCTGCATCTGCCCCCACCGCCACTCCCTCTTTTGTATCGTCTTTCACCTTGTCATCTCCACCTTGCTCCTCCTTGCTCACTTCAGCAGACGCCCCTTCAGCCGCCTCGGTTATAGGCACAACCCCCTCAATCCCAGTCTCAGCCGCCCCGGTCTCGTTTCCCGCCTCTTCCTCAGCCTCTTTTTCAATCTCAGTCTCACCACCTTGCTTCGTATCAATACCCTCTCCTGCTGCATCTGCCTCCTTGCTCGCAACATCCACATCAGGAGCGGCAGCATTTGTACCACCAGTTACCGCACTGTCTACCTCCATACCATCAACAACCTCCTTCCCTTCACAGCCCGCCTTTCCCTCTTGCTCTTCCTTTCCTTCTTCTGCACCCTTCTCTTCCTCCCCTCCCTCCCTCCCTTTCTCACCCTCCTCTCCCTCCTCGCCCTTCCCGCCCTCTCCTCCCTCTGCGCCCTCTTCCTTTGCTCCTACCACAGCTGGCTCATCCTTCCCTTCCTTACCCGCATCCCCTCCCCCATCCACGTTCATCCCAGCATCACCTTCACTCACAGCAACACCCTCCTTCACAACATTGCCTTCCCCCGCACCAGCGTCACTCGTCTTACCTGCTCTTTCCTCTCCTGCACCATCCCCCTCCACCTGCCCTCCCTCTACTTTCCCCCCCTCAGCCTCTTCACCAATCAGCCATCCTCCCTCTGCTCCCTCTACGTCCCCTCCCGCGCCCGTCACCTCTTGCCCTTGCCCTGCTTCCACCACAGCAGCCGCTTCGCGCACATCCCCATCCTCCTCGCGCTCCCTCTCCGCTTCACCCCCCTCCGCACCTCCCACTCCTTCCATTCCCTTCTCCCCATCCTCCTGCTCCTCCGCACCAACACCACGAACACCAGCAAACCCACCACCACCAATTCCCACAACCACCTCCTCCTCTTCCTCTTCCTCCACAACCATACTCGCTTTAAGCGTCTCCACGCTTGATTTAACTAACTCTTCGATATCCAGCCCAGCCAGGCCTGAAATCTTCCCGGAAGCCGCCACCACCGCATGCACCGCAGCAGCAGCAGCCCCAACCGCCTGCGCCATCCCCGTAACCGCCGCCACCTGCTGCTTCTCCCGCTTCTCCCGCCGCTTTTCCAGGACCACCAGCCTCTCCTGAGCCTCCACCTGTCGCTTCAGCAGCATCAGCTTTTCCTTTTTGAGCCCCAGGTCGCTATTCCGGTAGGTTTTGAGCTGGTTTGCCTCGGCCTTCCTGGCCTTTTCCCGCGTCTCCCGCTCGCGCGTCTCCAGCTTGTGGCGCTTCGCGAGCGCGTCCTCGCTTCTGCCCATCGCCCCCGCAATCACGTGCGCCGCGCGGACCATTGCGTCGCTCCCCAGCGCTCCGCTCGAGCGCGGCTCGCGCGACGACCCCGGAAGCCGAGATAACACACCGTCGTTGACTCGCCACGTCATCAGGTCGTCTTCTTGCCCGCCCGCGAACCCGAATCCGCCGGCGGACGCTGCGCCTCCCCCCCGCCCCCTTCCGCCGCCTCTTCCGCGGCCACGTCCTCTCCTTCCGGCAGTTGCCGCAGGAGCCCCGCGCATGTCTCCCTGACTGCCATGCCTTCCGCCGCCCATTGCGCCAGGTCCCGTCGCCGCCGCCAACCTCGAAATTAACGGGTCCCCCTCATCCCCCGCTCCAGCGCCCAGTCCTTCCCCGCCTGCACCAGCTCCTGCCGCTTGACCCGCGGTCGGCCCCAGCAAAAGACTCGCCTGGTCGCGCAGCGCCACGAGATATGGATCCTCCGCAGTCGAAGGGACGTAGGGCATCCCGCCAGGCATGTTAGAAGCCCCAACATTCCCTCCGGAGCTCGTGCCGACATCCCACATTCCAGACTGACTCCCGTCCGCGCCACCACGGGGTTGACTCGTTGTCCCGCGTTGACCGCGTTGACCGAGTTGACCAGGCTGTTGCTGCTGCTGCTGCTGCATTCCGCGTTGACCGGGCTGCTGCTGCGGGTGCGTCCGCTCTTGCTCCTGCCGCGCATGCACCGCAATAGGCATCCACTCCATCATATGATCGAATAACTCTCGCGGGAAATGCGGCGGCATGCCAATCGCCTCGCGCTCCTCCACACTCAGCCGCCAAAAGTACCCGGGATTTGCGGCGTCCAGCGAGTTATCCCCAGGAGGAGGGGCGCGTCCTTCCATCTGCAGCCTCCGGCGCTGCTCCTGCTGAACCTGCCGCTGCCAACGAAAGATCTTCCGGAAAAGAAGTTTCGTGTTGTAATGGCGGCTGATGCAGGACTGCGCCGAACGATGGTACACCGCACCGCCGGGAGCGCGGCCCGAAGCCATCCATTTCACGAGGTATTTGCCTTGCTCGACTTTTCCCCACTTGAGCGCGTTCTCTCCCAGACTGTCCTGCATCTGCTGGTGCGATTTGAGACCTTCCGCAAACCAGAGCGCTTCCGCCAGGCTCCAGTTGCTTCCGCGGTCGCGCTTGCGTTTCTTGGAGTCTGGAAGGTCGTCCCCTTCGTCGCCTTCCTCCCCCATGTAGTCTTCTTCATCTTCCTCGTCGCTCCAAAGGCCGTGGGAAGGATACGCGGAACCACCACCTCCGCCAGGATACGCAGAGCCACCGCTGCCAGGATACCCAGATCCTCCGCCGGATGCTCCCGGGCCGGTATAATAAGCGGGATCGCGGCCCAGCTCCATGGCGAGAATGTTCTAGTTGTAGAACCAATCGAGCCGCACAAAAGCTTCAAGTTGGATTGGGAACCAAATTGCGAATTACTCAGGCACGCTGCAACTCTAGTCTTGAAGTGCACAGAAAAAAATATTAGCTGAGTTCCCAACTCTGGGTATTAAAAATGGGCATGCGCACCTCTCAAGGTGTGTAATATTTTCTGCCGAGTCCCGGCCGTTATGTTTCTTGAGATCTGGTGGAGCAAACCCTCGAGGGTTTCGACTGCTGCAGGTGGTATTTTCAGGCAGCGGCGAGGGTTTCAGCTAAGACCAGCCAAAAAGGACCAGCCAAAACCAAGGTTGTGGTGGTTGGCAAGAACGTAGCTTATACAGTAGCGACGAGGGTTTCAGCTAAGCCCAGGCGGAATGCTGCGGGCCTCAAGGGATTGGTTGAAGTTTGGCGAAGTGGAGGAGTTCGCGAAAGTCTATCCACTGGATTTTCACACCAAGCTGGCTCGGGTTCCGTTCGATTCCCACAATCAAGGGTGGTTGGTTTGGTGTAAATCACGAGCGCCAAAGGTTATCCAAGTCTTGCTGAAAACACGGTTAACCGTCGATAAGGTACGATTTGTTTTTACTCATTACACACAAACTCGGTAAGGTAGTCAGACTACAGAGCTACATGGTTTATAATTAAGTCACCTAAGATAATGGGAACTTTCCTTCACATAACTGAAATTCTAGTTCCAGATAGGTTAAAAGTAACATTCACGAATCATAATAAATATAGAAGTCAAAAAACTGCCTCATTTACACAAAAACAAATTTATATAATTTGGTGGGAAGCCGGATTAGCTACACATTGTTTGCTTGACTGTACTCAAATGGGGGCACGCCATAACCGGGAAATGCTTCTGTGAAATACACGTCAATCGTTTCTGGTCTACCAATCAGTGGTAGCAAAACACAATTGGAACTGTGTCAGATTCCAGAAGAAAATCTCTCCCAGTCGCAGTCCAGATGGCTTACACTGGCTGGTGAACGACTCTTCGCGAAGAAGTCGCCATCTTTCGGACACCCAACCCAAGCCTCGGAAATTAGGCACATCACAAATTCCGACCATCTCTCAAAGCAAATCTCAAGGTCCATTGTCACACAGGAAGCCATCGATCACCGAATAGCTATTGTTTCACTGGATAGGCCTAGTTCCCTTGCAGTCCGATTCCAGTGAAACCTGCCGATTAACGTGTGATCCTAGAAGGCAGACCCTGGGTGCTGTCACCGTTTAGGTTAATTTTCCCTCACCTAGTCCAGGTGCCTTATCAGTTGCAAGTTCACTTTACGCGCCGATCCGTAGCAGCATGATTGATGGTAGCGGCTGCGGGAGGTGGAGTAGGAGCAGAAATTATGAATTTATTGTAGAAATTTCGCGGCAATGTATAAGTATCAGTGTGCTGACCTTCCTCGTTGTCGCTGCATCGGCAGCCGATCCAGGTACGGTCGACAACCTCCTGTCGCTTAACGAGGTTCGCAGCCATTTGACAGCGTGCATCGCATTCGCAGATACTAATGGTAGTAGAAGCTTTGTGTCATGTATCCCCGATCCAACTTATATGGGCAACTCCTTAACTCTTAGACCTAGCCCGATAACTTTGATCCCTGCGTTTGTGTCATGAATCGCAATTTTTCTCCCAATCAGGCTCTTTTCTGCAATCCGGCGATGCGGCGGTGTCAGCTGGACAGTATTCTGCCGCGCTGCGGCACTACACCGCATTTATCGGTCAGTCTCACAACACTCCATCGCCACTTCTTGCTTGCGAAGTTGGTGAATCAGCAACAGTACTGGTATGATCTTCCGCGTCGCAAAACCTATCCAACGGACAGTCTACTTTATAGGACATTGGAAACCTTGACCGATTGAGATACTCATTCACATGCCCTTCCTCCCTCAAAACATCCCGTTTGCCCCCTCCAGAAGCTGATCCCAGCACGGGCCTGGGATACACGAAGAGAGCGGCGGTGTATTTGCAACAGCGGAAGCACAGGGAGGCAGAGGCGGATCTAGACATGGCCATCCAGGTGGAGCCGTCCTTTCTGCAGGGCTACCTGCACAGGGGCCGACTCCGTCGTCAGCTGTGCCAGTAAGCCGGCAATTCTGCCAGTAGGCCGTCAGATTCTGCCTAATTGGTCGTTAGGCGCCCGAAGAGGCGGATCTAGACAGGGCCATTCAGGACAACGCTTGCCTCGTGCACGGGGTACCTGCTCAGAGGCTGTTTGGGCCGTCAGAAATGCCAGTAAGCCGACAACTTTGCCAGTAGGCTGCTAATTGTGCCCATTGGTCGTTAGGCGGCCCAAAAGGTGGACCTAGATAGGGTCATTCAGGTCGACGCCCACTTCTTGCAGGGCCACGGCAGTTGCCTGCGCCATCAGTCCCGTTAGTAATCCGGCAACCCTGCCAGCTACCCGCCAATTGTGCCAGTTGGACGTTGGGTGTCCCAGTTGGTCGCCAGTCTTACCAGTAAGATGCCATCATGCCACTGTCATATCTCTTCCCTCCTCTGTCACTTTCGCCTTCGATCCCTTACCCTGCCTCCCTATCCATTCATTCCTCCTGTTCCTCCCCAATTGTCCATAATTTTTTCCCACACGCAGGTTCTCAGCAGCTTCCGCCGATTTTGAGAAGCTAATAGAGTTAAAGCCGTCGCATACCAGCGCGCGGAAGGAGCTAGCGTCAACCAAAGCAGCAGCAGAGGCTCTAGCGGCCGTTAAAAGCGCAGTAGAGTCCGGGGGAGGGGAGGAGGTGGAGAAGCGGTTAGAGGATGACGTGCTCAGTGTAGTTCCGGACTGTAAAGAGGCGCTGTTGCTTAAAGCGAAGCTGCTTATGGCGAAGGGGGACTACCCGGGCGTGATTGCAGAGGCGGGCAGGGCGCTCAAATCGGATGAGAACGATTTGGAAGGGCTGCTTCTGAGGGGCAGGGCGTATCTGTACAATGGCGACCACGACCACGCACTTAAGTAAGTGCGGTGGCGACCTTGAGCATGCCTTTTGAAGTGCACTGTTGGTCGTGAGCACGCGTTAAGTAAGTCCCTAGTATGTTTGCTTTACATCAATTAGCGTTCTCGTTTCCTCTCCCCGTGCCCATCACGTCTCCACCTCTCCTCCTCCCCTCGCCGCCGCCCTTCTCTCCGCCCCATCTTAATCACTTCAAAACGGGCCTCTTACCACATGTATCACGAACCCCCTGCCTCCGCACTTTCCCCACTCCTCTCCTCCCTTCCCCCCAGGCACTTCCAGGCGGGTCTTCGGTCGGACCCCGAGCATGGGGAGCTGAAGAAGGCGTACAGGCAGCTCAAAAACCTTGAGAAGAAAACCAAAGCGGTGAGTTGAGTTGACGGAGGGTAAGGGGAGGATTTTCTCTGGGAAGGGAGAGAAGTGGGTCTGATTGGAAGGCGAATCGGAGGAGCTGAAGCGGGCCTACAGGCCGCTGCAGAACTTGGAGAAGAAAACCAAAGTGGTGAGTTGATGGGGTAAGGAGAAGAAGTGGGTGTTGGAAGGAAAGTTGAAAAGGATAGAAGAAGAAGGCGAGGAGCTGAAAAGTGTGTATCGGTAGATTCCAGAGGAAAGAATCAGGGCCGTGCGCTCTGGGAATTGTTTTGAGACGCCTCAAAATACCAGAGGAAAGAATCAGGGCCGTGCGCTCTGGGAATTGTTTTGAGATGTCTCAAAATACCAGAGGAAAGAATCAGGGCCGTGCGCTCTGGGAATTGTTTTGAGACGTCTCAAAATACAAGAGGAAAGAATCAGGGTCGTGCGCTCTGGGAATTGTTTTGAGACGTCTCAAAATACCAGAGGAAAGAATCAGGGCCGTGCGCTCTGGGAATTGTTTTGAGACGTCTCAGAATACCAGAGGAAAGAATCAGGGCCGTGCGCTCTGGGAATTGTTTTGAGACGTCTCAAAATACCAGAGGAAAGAATCAGGGCCGTGCGCTCTGGGAATTGTTTTGAGACGTCTCAAAATACCAGAGGAAAGAATCAGGGCCGTGCGCTCTGGGAATTGTTTTGAGACGTCTCAAAATACAAGAGGAAAGAATCAGGGCCGTGCGCTCTGGGAATTGTTTTGAGACGTCTCAAAATACAAGAGGAAAGAAACAGGGCCGTGCGCTCTGGGAATTGTTTTGAGACGTCTCAAAATACCAGAGGAAAGAATCAGGGCCGTGCGGTCTGGGAATTGTTTTGAGACGTCTCACAATACCAGAGGAAAGAATCAGGGCCGTGCGCTCTGGGAATTGTTTTGAGACGTCTCAAAATACCAGAGGAAAGAATCAGGGCCGTGCGCTCTGGGAATTGTTTTGAGACGTCTCAAAATACCAGAGGAAAGAATCAGGGCCGTGCGCTCTGGGAATTGTTTTGAGACGTCTCAAAATACCAGAGGAAAGAATCAGGGCCGTGCGCTCTGGGAATTGTTTTGAGACGTCTCAAAATACCAGAGGAAAGAATCAGGGCCGTGCGCTCTGGGAATTGTTTTGAGACGTCTCAAAATACCAGAGGAAAGAATCAGGGCCGTGCGCTCTGGGAATTGTTTTGAGACGTCTCAAAATACCAGAGGAAAGAATCAGGGCCGTGCGCTCTGGGAATTGTTTTGAGACGTCTCAAAATACCAGAGGAAAGAATCAGGGCCGTGCGCTCTGGGAATTGTTTTGAGACGTCTCAAAATACCAGAGGAAAGAATCAGGGCCGTGCGCTCTGGGAATTGTTTTGAGACGTCTCAAAATACCAGAGGAAAGAATCAGGGCCGTGCGCTCTGGGAATTGTTTTGAGACGTCTCAAAATACCAGAGGAAAGAATCAGGGCCATGCGCTCTGGGAATTGTTTTGAGACGTCTCAAAATACCAGAGGAAAGAATCAGGGCCGTGCGCTCTGGGAATTGAGGGAAGGACGTGTCGTGAGAGGGAAAGGGTTGGGAGAATGAGGAAGCAAGGAGCTGAAGAGGGCGTGGAGTGGAGGGCAGCTCTAGACTCAGGACGAGGAC